TAACACAGCAAAGGTCACACAGCTAATGAGTGGTTGAGCTGGGATTCAGATCCCCTCCTTTCTACTCCTAGGGCCATGCCCTTAATCAGATACTATCCCGAGCACATTGGCAGGTGCATCATAATATCAAAATATACCTCGCAGGGCTGATGTGAAAATTAAGAGATTATATATATGAAAACTGTTGGGCAAACCACAAAATCCTTCCAAAGGTTCGCTGTGATTATTTCTCTTGGTTTTACACAGGGCTTGCTCAGCTGTCCTTAGTGGCCATGTCTATATTAATCCCATAGTTTATCCTTAAACCACCAAAGTTTATTTGCCTGGCTTTTTCCATAGCCGAAGGGAAACTGAAAATATGCCTTTTGTAAGAAAGCCTTAACACCTGTTGCTAAAGGGCGCTAAACCATCTGGATCGTCAAAGGGGTATAGGCTCACTTACAAAAGACGTAGATTAATTTGGACATTGTTTCCCTACATAAACCAGGCATAAGGAGGCAAGCAACCCAGGGAAGGATAATCATGCTGAGAGTGGAAGCACTTATTAGAAATAATTACCATGTAATTATCCACAACTTCCCTGGAGTCTGTAGCCTGTGGCTAGTCTTAGGAGGTGCCCCTTCCTTACCAAGTACAAGAAGACTGAAGCACTTCAATAAGTTGATCAGGGCATGTGCCTGTGTCTTATAGTTTGGTTACCGCCACCTGGGCCTACTTCTCACTTAATGAAGCCTTCAGTGCTTATAGCTAAGGTGCAGAACAGCTGTAGACTTTCTTCAGCTGGATCCACCACACACCCCTCCCTTTTTTAATAGCACAGTGTTGTTTTGCAAGTGTGTGGGTGTGACACATCTGGCTTCTTTCCTTAAGAAAAGTGTTTATTGAACAATTAATTGTGGCGCATGGGGGCTGTGACATTTCTCTTTTTGCTGTGCCTCTGAGCTGTGTTTCCACGCTGCGAGGCGGCCCACTGAAGATCAGTAACAACACTGTAAAGGAACGATGGCTATAGAAGCCTTGACAAGTGCAGGGAGAGACCTAGACACTTCCGAGAGGGGCATGATTGCCTACAAGGTTAATCAGTTCCCCTTGTTTCCATTCCAGCTCCACATTTGTCTTGGTGGCAGCAGCTGCAAATGTAAAATCAAACCTACACACTTAGACAATTGGATGTATTTACCTGATCAAAATGTGTAAATGATCTGTTCTCTGTGTCTTCTTAACTGGAATTTAAGGAGCACAGCAAAGCTCCGGCTATAGGTCAGTGAGAGGCATCCTTTTGTGTGGTGTCCAGATACAATTTAGTTGTCTTGGATAGACAGTTGGAAAGAACTGCAGTCACAGCCTAGAATCTTGATTGTCATGATCACCATTATTATTGTTATAGCTGCCATTTATTGAGCCTCTATATATGACAAGCACTTTATATGTATTCCTATCTCATTTCTTCCTCTTAATAACACTGCAGATAGCTAATAGTGTTTTTATCATGTACAGATGAGAAAACTGAGATTAAGTAACTTGCTTATGGTCATTGGTGCAAGGTTCTAGATTCGAACTGGGTCTGACCCATGCTCTGAACCACTAGGGCTTAACAATCCCAAACCTCGCTAGAATATGCAAGTGTAGAGAACACAAGGGCTTGTGATCGACCTGACAGTTTTAAATCTTTGTTTTCAAGAAAGCCAATCAGAGAAGAAGGCTTAACAAATCTCTTTGCAAACCGATTTGTTGGCCCACCTTTGATTATTCTCAGTACAAGAAAAGGGTTAAAAATATCTCTTGCAGCAGTGAAGTGGCCTTATTTTGAAAATGAGTCTTCGTAGAAGTAATCAGGCTAAAATGAGGTCATTAGAGCGGGCCCTAATCCAATGTCATTGGTGTCCTCGTAAGTAGGTGAAATTAGGACACAGAGACAGACACATGGAGGGAAGACACTGTGAAAAGACACAGAGAGAAAGCCGCGGAAGGCTGAAGCAGAGGGTGGATTGATGCTGCCACAAGCCAAGGAACACCTGGGGCTACCAGAACCTAGAAGAGGCGAGGAAGGATCCTTCCCCTCCAGGTTTCAGAGGGAACCCGGCCCTGCTGGCACTTTAATTTCAGACTTGTAGCCTCCAGAACTATGAGACAATAAATTTCTACTGTTTATAGCCACTCAGTCACAACCTCCCTGGAAAACACATACTCCTGTTCTATTCTGTTCTGTACTGTTTTGTTCTATTTTATTCTCTTTCTTTAAGAAAATGGATTTCCAGGCTGGGCACGGTGGCTTACACCTGTAATCCCAGCACTTTGGGAGGCCAAAGCAGGTGGATAACTTGCGGTCAGGAGTTTGAGACCAGCCTGGCCAATATGGTGAAACCCCCGTGTCTACTACAAATACAAAAAATTAGCTGGCCGTGGTGGCGGGTGCTTATAGTCCCAGCTTACTCGGGAGGCCGAGGCAGGGGAATCACTTTAACCCGGGAGGTGGAGGTTGCAGTTAGCTGAGATTGCGACATTGCACTCCAGCCGGGGCGACACAGTAAGACTGCATCTCAAAAAAAAAAAAAAAAAAGAGAAACAGATTTCCCAATCTACTAATTTTGAACAACACCAGTCTCCAGAGCTCAGCATTCACGCCCTTTCCAAGCTGGCTCCAGTCTAATTTTCTAACCTCAGTATTAGTTAACCCCCGACCCACCCTGAACACACCTGGTGTCGCACAGTCCATCTGTCCAAGAGCACAGCATCAACCTGAGTGCAGGTGGCCTGCTCATTGCCTGTGCTGCCACCTTTTCCCTCAGTGGCTATTCATTTTTTAATGTCCAGCTTCAAGTCACCTCCTCTGACAGGATTCCCCTGGCTCTTCGAGCAGAGTCATTTGGTCCCTGTCCTCTGTTCCTCCCATACACTTTATCAGCCCCAGTTACAGCACTTACATTGTATGATGGGATCAATCTCTGTGTCCCCTTCATCCCCTCCCCACAACTAAACTTCAAGTTCCTTAAAGAAGACTATCTTTTTCCTTGTTTTTTCTTTTTAATCAAGTGTCTAGCACAGAACCTGCCTGACACACGACAAATCCAAATACAGGGTACCCCAAAAAGGTTAGTGCAGTTTTAAGCTTTAATAACTTCTTAAGTTGAAATGTTACAGGCTTACAAAACTCATTTGAACATTTACTTCTTTTTAATTATTTTAATAAATGTAATTGTAATTTTCTTTTCTGGTTAATGTATGCCATATTTCACTCAGGGGAACTGAAACAAAAATGAAAATTAAAATGTGTTATTCAACACTCTTCACAGAGATAAATAGTGTTAAATTAACTTTCAAACAGTGTTCTTATAAGTTGCAGCATTTATAGCCTTGAGGTTATTAAAACTGCAGGAAGACTTTTGGGACACCCTGTTTTTGAATAAATATGCTACAGTATGACTCATCCTGTGTTTACTGTAAAATTCAGTTTAATTCTTAAGTGGTTCCATGTGGGCATAGGTATTGTTTGGCCAGTAGTTGTCCTTATACTTAGACCCAAGGAGCCCTTGTCCAGGGCCCACACTTAAGAAGGCAAATTCCAAATTCCCTCCCCAAATGGCACTGAGCCTCCTTCAAGGGTCTGCACACCAGCAGCGGTGTTGTCTGCTAATGTCTGTACTCCCATGGGCGAACATTGCTGACTCTGGTGTTCATACTCTTGAGCCCAAGAGGTGGCTGGGGACAGCTGCTTCTGGGAAGCTGGACTGAGCTTCCACCAATGGACTAGAGCCCTGTGGGAAGAGAGGAGGTGGCTGCAGACCAGGAACTAGAAACCACTTCTCCCTGCATCATCATATTTAAGGGCAGATCATCCACAGTTTCAATCTGGCCTTTCATGTCAATTCCCAAGGCATATTTGTCTAGGTAGGAAGGTAGAACTTATTGTACTTAATCATTTGTTAACTTCGTGTATAACTTTTAAATATTTAGATATCTGGCATACAAATCTCTGTTTGTACTTTTGCCCTGGGTCCTGCAAATATTAAAGGTGGGCTGATTTTGGCCTTAAAAAATTATTTTGCCACAAACCGATTTTTCTCCGTAAAGAGGTAGGTGGGTAGGAAGTACTTCCAAATAGAAGGTATGATAGCAAAGAATGACTGCAGTCACTGAGCACATACTCTGTGCGGGGTGATTTACGCATCGTTTTTTCAGTTAGTCCTCACAGCAACCCAATAAAGTAGGTACTTAGGAAAAAAGATATTCAGTGACATTAGTTTGTTCCAGCTCATAAAACTAGTGCTTTAGTTAGCCTTAGTTGCATAACAAACTATGCGAAACTGAAAGTGGCGTAAAACAATTTTTTCCCCTGACTGTCAGGTTGGCTAGGCTGCTCCGCTGCGGGTTTCCCTGGGCTCACTCCTGCAGCTAGCTGTGAGGAGATGGAGGTTGGCCGGGGACAGTGCATAGGATTCCCCATGGCCTCTCCCACTTGTCTGGCAGTTGATGCTGCTGTTGCTGATAATGATGACCTTCCTTTATTTTGTGTTATCTACTTGCCATTGCAACCGCCTTGCCTTTTTTAGTTCTTGCTCCCGTACTGTCTGGCTCAATGCCCAGCACCTGGTGATGGTTAATAATACGCACTCAACTCACTTAAAAGCAATGTGACCCTGGATGGGTTACTTAACCTCACTTAGTTTGTGTTCCCCACTTGCAAAATGGGTATAATGATACAGAACACATCAGGTGGCTCTGAGACTCCAGCGCAGTGATTCAGGAGAGTGCTTGGCAGGACAGTGGCACTTGGTGCGCGCTTACTGCTAGTGCAGCTGGAATGCAGACCATCAGTGAATGTGTGTTGCCTTTTTAAACAGTGGGAATCAAACATGACTCGCTTTCCAAATGTAAATCCTGGGCTTGCAAGTAAGTCCTACAGTGCAGAAATAATTTCAAAATACAGGGTTGAAATTCTAAGATAGCAGATTTTAAAAAGTGGGAGACAAAATCAGAATAAAACAAAGGGACAAACCAACCTGAATTGCACCGCAGCCGACGATCTTTATTGATTTTTAAGTTTCCACCCAGCATGGGAAGCGCTGACTTGGTGCGGACAGGTTTCTGGGACCAGGAGGTGGGGACACGACGTACCTTTTGCCCTCTAGGTCTGGGTCATGTGAGCCTAAAGGAGCGCTTAAAGGCTGGAGTTCTGCAGGGTCCTCATGACTGGGTGGGGCTGCCTCACTTCTGCCTGACTTGGGAAGCGCTGCAAGCACAACCGGCTGGGGTCCTTGCGTACCGCGGCTCTGGGAGGAGCACCGACTGCGCCGCGTAAGTGCTGCCTGCCCCGCGTGGGTCGTGCCGGCTCAACGGGACAGGTCCTCGCCTCGGTCCCTCGGACGTAGGGAGCGCGGGACAGGTGATCTCAAAAGCCCTCAGCACCAACAGGGGACAAAGCGCCGCATGGGTGAGACTGGAATGGGGTGGTTGTGGCCGAGTCAAAGTTTTCAAGTTGGAGCATTGGCGATGCACTGCGTGCGCCCAGCCAAAGGAATACTCTTGAAAGTTCCTGGCATAACTGTCGCACCCAGCGTTCTTCCAGGCTAGAAGGCGCCTCCTACTGCAGGAGCTCCTCTGGGGAAGTGCGAAGCTGTGGGGTCCTCTACCGCTCTTAGCGCTGGAGGGTGGCGAGTGCAGGACACTTTCTCTTACTACCTCAACGCGTCTTTTGGGGATGTGTTGATTTCGTAGGTGCTCAGAAGCAGGAGAGGCGGAAAATGCCTTCTATTTGAACGTGCCCAAAGCAGGGAAACTTGGCTTCAGCCTAGGAAGGAAAACACATAGGAAGACTTTTATTCTTGGAATGTAGGATTAGGAGAAACCAAGGGCACAGGAGACAGGTGGAAGCAGCTCCCTGCGACGTGTAGATCAGCTTAATGATACAGAAGCAAAAGGACTTTGAAATATGGATGGAAATAAAACCCAGCGCCGGCCCTAGCTAGTGACCTTGGGCAAATTATTTAAGCCTACTAAACCTCAGTCTTGCCATCTGAAAGATGGAGATAATAAGTTTTTCTTTTTAAATACTTGTTCTATTGGAAATAGAAATAACATATAGAAAATGCCTCCCTAGCGCGGGACTTGGCTTTTCAGCTAAGTGTAATTTTCCTCATCAGTTATGATTGATGATGAAGTCTATGGTGAAGACAGAACAAAATAATGTTTAAAACTCTGGCCATATAATGACTGTGGCAACGCATGACCCGTGTGCAGTCACCTTTGAGCCCCCCACCTTCTCTGCAACCCCAGTGGGTCCCAAGAAAGGTGCTTGGGTTTTGGAGCTGGACAATTCTGTGCAATTCCTGATTCTAGTATTCACTACTTGGATGACATCAGGGACGTTACTTATCTTCCACAGCCTCAGTTTTGGCTTCAGTAAATGAAAAAGGAGCCTCTCAGTACTTGCCTTTCCCTTCCCCGCTTAAATGTTCAACTCCTTTTTTTTTTTTTTTCCTTTCTTTGATTTGGGATGAGTAAGAACAAAGATGTAAGCAGAAATAAAAGTCCACCGAGAATACATTTTATTAGTTTGATAAATAACGTTTAAGAAAGTTGTCCAAAAGGAGAATTGGAGCACTTTGGAAAAGTACACTGCACTGACTTAGTTGGCATCTGAAAGTCTGCATGGTTGTCAAGACCCTTTGACTAATTGGGCATTCTAGATGTGTACCTCATGCTATCTAAGTACAGGGGAAACCCTTTATAATGTAGTGTCAGTGTTCTTAACACGGTGTTGTTTTATTAATCTTTTATAGGAGTTGTTTGGGAGGGGCAGTTGGTCCCCCAGTTTATATAAATCCAGTTTATAAATCACTTTATAGTGGGATTCTACTAACCTGAGAAATAGGTGGGTTTTAACTGACAGTTTGAATGACTTAGAAGAGTATGTTAAGAAAGTCCGCTGGGTCTACCAGTTCACCCCCCACAAAAAATAAAAACAAGAAGCAAGTGATATAACAATTTTAAAAAATGAGTTTGTTTTTGTTTTGGGGAGCATCTAGTTTGTCAGAGGAAACATTGAGTGTTGAATACTACCCCGGGATGCACAGAACTAAGGCAATGAGAGGGGAGGAACTCAGTTGTTGCCTCAGGTATCATCAGATATCTGTTTATTATCACCCAAATACTCAAGGTAAATAGGTAATGACCCATTCTTCCTTTTTTTGAGATAAGAGTCTCATTTTGTCACCCAAGCTGGAGTGCAGTGGCACCATCTCGGGCTCACTGCAACCTCCATCTCCCGGGTTCAAGCGATTCTGGTGCCTCAGCCTCCTGAGTAGCCAGAATTACAGGTGTACACCACCGTGCCCGGCTAAGTTTTGTATCTTTGGTGGAGATGGGGTTTTGCCATGTTGTCCAGGCTGATCTCAAACTCCCGACCTCAAGTGATCCTCCCACCTCAGGTTCCAAAGTGCTGGGATTACAGGCATGAGCCACTGTGCCTGGCCAGTGACCCCTTCTTAATAGGAAGTATGGTTCACTAAAGAGCAAACATGATTGTTTTAGTTTAACATTTCCAACGGCTTTATAGTGTGGGATTTTCTTTGACTGAACTAAGAACATTTAAAAGAAGTAGGCAAGCTTCTCAGAATTAGAAAGATACCTCTAGAACAATGACTCATTAACGTCTATATTGACTTGGGAGAGAGGTAAGCTGGCCAAAAGCTAAGAACTGTACTTTCCTGGTAAAAACAGTAATGGAGTTTGAACTTTTATACTATATTTGCAAGCTCAAAGATGTAAGCCTTAATAGACAGTTTACAAGACAGCTATTACAGCGTGTCTGAACTGAAACCAGGGTATTGAGATTTCTCTGCCTTCAGAGATATTATAGGTATAACCTTGAACATGAAATCACATGCTTTCATTGCTTTAAGTCAGACCCTGGAGTGCAGGACAGGGTGGTGGTGGTGAAAGAGGGGGAAGGATTGTGTCCTTACATCTTGGAGCCTGAAAAAGCAAATTCTTTGTGGCTTATCTTTCCAATACAGTCGCAACTTATCTCCTAACTTTTTATCTCTAGTCTGATTCTAGTTATTGGTTGTCTTTAAATTGCTTAGAGTTGTCTACAGGTCAAAATATTTACTTAGAACCCTGAGGTTAAGCCCTTCCTCCTTTCCTTTTTGAGACTGTGTGTCCCATTACCCCTTTCAGAAAGACTGCTTGACATATCTTTTTGTACTGTATGATTCTTGGGAGACAATGTAACCCAGCTCCCAACTGATTCATTTTCTCGTTTATTTATTCATTTAACTAATGTTTTTCCCAGTGTTTGATTATGAAAAGGTTTAAACTTTCAGAAAAGTCAAAAAAATTTTGCAATCTAGAATCTACCTGTACTCTATTATTGATTAGAAGCCAGGGTATTGATTTCAATTGATTAATCAACTGGCATTGAATAGAGGAGAGTTTTGATTTGGCAGAGCACAGGCTTAGAGTTTGTGAAGGGATCATGTAACTTTGGTTTGAAAAGTTACGTTGGAGTTGTACGGTAGAGGACATTACATTTCATCGTAGGAAGTTTATACTTTATCCTGGTTGCAGGTGGGAGCCATTGAAGGCATGGGAGGAAGGGAGTGCCTTGTGTTTTAGAAAGCTCATTGCAGTATCAGCGTTAGGCTAAGTTGGAGGGAAAAGGACTGCAAGTCTGAGAGATGTGTTAGGAAGCTTTGTAAATGTCTCAGGGCAAGTAAGGGTTTAACTGTGGATAGAACAGAGAAAAAAGGAAGTAGAATAGCACTTGGTGACAGATTTGACTTGAGGACTTCTGGTTTCAGAACTCAGTCGTCTGCAATAATAAGGGAGCATCATTAAGAATCTGGAAGTTGCTGGGTGTGGTGGCTCACGCTTGTAATCCCAGCACTTTGGGAGGCCGAGGCAGTCGGATCACCTGAGGTCAGGAGTTCGAGACCAGCCTAGCCAACATGGTGAAACCCTGTGTCTACTAAAAATACAAAAATTAGCCAGGCGTGGTGGTGCATGCCTGTAATCCCAGATACTCAGGAGGCTGAGGCAGGAGAATCACTGGAACCCAGGAGCAGAGGCTCCAGTGAGCCGAGATTGCGCCACTGTACTCCAGCCTGGGCAACAGAGCAAGACTCTGTCTCAAAAAAAAAAAGCATCTGCAAGTCATAGAAGGAGGAAGTTTGAGGAGAATGATGATGTCCTGTTATAGAGTCAGTGGGTTTGAAGGACTGATTGGTTATCCTTGTGGAGGTGACAGTTGACAGTGGTGATAACAGTCCTGAAACGCCCAATAGCAGTGTCAGGACTGAACAAACATTTGGACTAGTGATTAATACTCAAAGGGTGGTTGAATGGGAATGTACGGAAGAAGAAAAAAGAAGGACAAGATCTTGAAGAAAATCTGAATATATGGAGTTCTTGGAACAAAAATAAATACAGGTGTTCAATGATCTGTTAGTATTTTAATGGCTGTTTATCTACAGTGTTATTGTAGCTGTAGTTCTCCTTAATAATTGACCACAGTCTCTAACTAGGAGACCATATCCACACTAGTAAAGTGAAGGAAGTGCAGGGGGTAAGGTGAGGCAGAGGAAAGAAAAAGAGAAAGTTAAATAATTTTTTTAATATAGGACTTTTAGAGCGTACAATGCTTTTTCCAGGTAACCCACTTCCAGATCAGAAGCCAGGTAATTTAATGAACTTGTCTATCTTTTCACAAGGCAACAGCTCCCCCCCTTTTTTTTTTTTTTGAGACGGAGCCTCACTCTGTTGTCCAGGCTGGAGTGCAGTGGCGCAATCTCGGCTCACTGCAACCTCTGCCTCCTGGGTTCGAGCGATTCTCCTGCCTCAACCTCCTGAGTAGCTGGTACTCAGTAGCTGGTACTACGGTCGCATACCACCATGCCTGGCTAATTTTTGTGTGTTTAGTAGAGACGGGGTTTTACCATGTTGGTCAGGATGGCCTCCATCTCCTGACCTCATGATTCACCCGTCTCGGCCTCCCAAAATGCTGGGATTACAGGCATGAGCCACAATGCCCGGCCAAGGTACAGAGTTTTTAAGTGGCAGAAACCACATTTGAAGCTGTGAAGGCATACTTTGTTTTTTTATTTTTTATTTTTATTTTTTGAAATGGAGTCTTGCCCTGTCACCCAGGCTGGAGTGCAGTGGGGCGATCTCGGCTCACTACAACTCTGCCTCCTGGGTTCGAGTGATTCTCTTGCCTCACCTTCCCGAATAACTGGGACTACAGGCATGTGCCACCATGCCCAGCTAAGTTTTGTATTTTTAGTAGAGACACGGTTTCACTATGTTGGCCAGGCTGGTCTGCAACTCCTGACCTCGTGGTCTGCCCACCTCGGCATCTCAAATTGTTGGGATTACAGGCATCAG